GGGTTGAGATCCCCTTTCTGGACATCTTAAAAAAAAAAAAAAAAAAAAAAAGTCACAGACGTGGGATCACAGGAGGCTTCTGAAAGGAAAACATGTTAAACCTTTAGAAATGACTAGATCCTAACACTTAGGGGCATTAACCCACGTCTTATTTCCTTGGCTGCACCTACACACTCAAGGGAAAGGGGAGAGGGTGTTTGTGGAAACCAGAGTTGGCTAAGAACAAGACTACACCAACTTCCTATTTTGTGACTTTCTGAAACTCTCCAGGACCCCAATCTGCTTCTGTGCCTTGACTATTTCAGATCAGACAGGTAGGCATGAGGCAAGTCACATAGAAGGGAAAACTGGTCTAAAATGTACTTTGGACACAGACGGTGTGATAAGTGTAACGTAATTCAAGTTCAGACTACACATTCCCCATCAGAAAAAGTTATTTGCTTGTAAAGCAATTCTCCAGGATCTGGATCTGAAGGAATTCTACATGGAGAGTTCAGTTATGGCCAACTCCAGAATTTCACTGAGGCAAAACAGCACAACTAAGATGAAGGAAATGGAAATAAAAGACACTTTTTTTTCTAAGCCTAACAAAGACCAAGGTAACGTCATATGGCAATTAATCAACGAGGACAAAGTTTTTGCTACTAACCAGATTAACATGCCAGTCCTTTAAAAAAAAAAAGCCTTGCACACAACAGCAGCCATGTGTTAGCCACTTTAATATAAAATATGATAAAAACTCAATTACAAGAGTTCAAAAAGGCATAGAAAAACCAATGAGTTTCAATTTATTACAAGTTTTAAAATCTGAGACTAATTAGAAAAAAAATTATATGCTAATTTCTGCCCAGGGCTCATTTTCTTTTTTTTTTAACAATGAAACTAAAAATTACTACATGGCAACATCAATGCAACAAACAAGTAAAATCTGCAAACCCAGGTCACAAACTTATAGCTGATAATCATGGCAAGGGACACAGCCAAAGAGCAACTGATGCCTCCACTGAGTTTGAAAGAAACCCTGCCTTCTGTGAGGGCAGAGAAGAAATGTGCAAACAATTCTGCTTCAAGAAATTTGCATAGAAATAGAAAATGCTAGAGCCTTCACCACAAATGAAATTGCAAAGCCTCCACATGCTAAACTCAATCCCAGGAGCACCAAATGTTAAATTGGAGCCAAAGTAGGGCTTGGAACATTTAATTTCCAGCTATGCAACTCGCAGAGCTTAAGAATTTAGGTGTGGAAATCAGCTGTAGGCAAGCTCTTTAAAAACATGAGTTTTATACGCCATAATTGTAAAACAAGGCAGACATTTCTGCAGAATTGTTTGGATTTCAGAAGAGCACCATCAGGCATCAGGGTCTCTTTCAAAGTCACGCTTGGCAACAATTACATCTTCCTAGCCTCCCTAACAACCTTTCACAGTTCTCTAGCCTTTGCACACATTGGCACAAAATCCCAAGATGAGGCCTCGTTTTCTGCCCCAGTATCTTGCAGGCACACCTCCTTCTGTTTGCAAAATGACTTTTGACACTAAATCCAGTCATGGCCTAAGTGGCATGGAAGCAGCTATTTCCTGGGTATCTCCCATCTCCTCGGCAATCACGCCTCCTTCATGCCACCCTCCATGAAAGACACAAGAGCTCGTTACTGGGAAACACACAGGAGGCCACATCTGGAAGCTTTTATTACTCCTGTCTTCAGCTCCCTCTGCTGGAGGACAAAGTGACAGTTTGTTGCAATGACTTGTAGAAACGATTATTTACAAATTCATTTTTGTACACATTTACTTAATTTAAAACCTGGGACTTTTACAATAGCTCTCCAAGCTCTTTTATGAAAGGTAGCGGAATATGCAACAACGCTAAAGAAGCACATTTTATTTCTATAGGAAGAAAAAGAATTAGCATACATAGTCGTGTGCATTGAGTAATTTGTAATCAGAAAATGAAAATAAATGCCCCAGAAACCTGCATTTTATTGACACTGCTCTTGACTGTCACACTTTTTAAAAACAAAATAGTGACTACCCGAAGCTTGTATCTCCACACCCTTATCTACCTGCTCAAGTCAAATCGCAGTCAGTTCCCTTAGCCTTCTCTTTCTATTTTGGTATCACTACGACAAGAACAGAAATTTTCAAGAAAAAGAGTAATTACAAGTGAGTGAGTGAGTGGCGGCCTGAGTGAAGCCTTTACTACCATTTCCACTGTTCCGTCCAGTCCACACTGCAGAGATACAAGGATAAACCACCGTTTTGGTTCCCAAGTTTTATTCAAAGAACTCATACAAAATATTCCAGATAAGTGAGTTTTAATCCTCATCTTCCTCCTCTTCTTCATCCTGATTAATCTGGAAGTAACGTAATTCGTAACTCTCTTTGCTGTTAGCGACTACGCGCAACCAATCACGTAGATTATTCTTCTTCAAATATTTTTTGGTGAGATATTTCAAATACCTGCAGAGAAAGGACACTTGAGAACTGCACTGGACAGGTGGCCTTCCTGCATTCTGAAACATTTTTACTTTTATCAAACCCACACATTCAAAATCATTACAATTCAACATGTTTTTCCACCCTTCAAAAACTGCACATACAGCAAAAATACCCAGCCAATGCTCTAACATGAATAAATGTGTCAGCTGCATGTCCTCTAGGTTGGCAATTAAATTAGAACAGATTGGCCGGCCCGTGGCTCACTGGGTGAGCGTGGTGCTGGCAACACCAAGTCAAGGGTTAAGATCCCCCTACCGGTCATCTTTTAAAAAAAAAAAAAAAGAAGAAGAACAGATTAAGTAGACGTAACAGTTGTCCCTTAAACAACAACTAATACCTATAAAACGGTTTTTAGTGACCACTAGAGAAAACTATCAGTAGTAATTTGACAGGTAAGCCCATAACCTTAATACCTTTTGAGGAATCACCTGGTTTCCAACGAGCTCCAAGTACTTCACGTCTGTCATCTCATTGATTCAAACCTCCTCTTGAGAGACCACTAGAGAAAACTATCAGTAGTAATTTGACAGGTAAGCCCATAACCTTAATACCTTTTATTGAGGAATCACCTGGTTTCCAACGAACTCCAAGTACTTCACGTCTGTCATCTCATTGATTCAAACCTCCTCTTGAGGTTGTCTCATTACCAGGGTTGCGTCTTAGGGCTGTGTTATACCTGCACTCTCCCTTCTGCCACGTGACGCTCACTACCCCAGTGCATGGGTACACAGCGCCACCCTGCCACTGTCCTCACTCCAGCAGACAGCACTCAGACTTCTAATCTGCTGCCTTACCGTGGGTGAGAGGTGAACCGTCACCACAGCAAGCTGCTCATTAGAAAACTCACTCTTTCTCACTCCAGCAGACAGCACTCAGACTTCTAATCTGCTGCCTTACCGTGGGTGAGAGGTGAACTGTCACCACAGCAAGCTGCTCATTAGAAAACTCACTCTTTGTATAAAGGCAGGGACTGGCTTTTGTGCCCAACACCCTAACTCCATAAAGATCCCATAAGCCTGCAATTTGCTTCTTTTCTCACCTGTCTGCTTAGGAGGCCCTGAGGTTAGCTATTCCGCCTCTTCCCAAAAACTACACAGAAGAGGGAATATAACGCTACACAAACCCACTGCTGGGCAAGTTCATCTTACCAAACCTCACTTCTTCCCACTAAAAAATGGGACTCCTGAAACTTGCCATCTCCTTCAGACTGTCATGTGGACTAAACAAAATGCACAGGTAAATCCCTGGCATATCGGTAAGGACCCAAATGTTAATGAATCAACAAACTCACCATCTCCAAGAAATGAATACTGTCTTAGTGTTGCCTACGCCAACAAAACAATCTTAACAAAGATGTGAAGATCTCAGTTTATCTCTATCCACTTTCCCTACATGAAAATCAATGTGATCGTTCCATCTAAAAAGTATGCTTTCATCACTTATTATTTCTACCATGTTGCATTCAGATAAGCTGGCTTTTTTTTTTTTTTTTTAAAAAGATGACCGGTAAGGGGATCTCAACCCTTAACTTGGTGTTGTCAGCACCACGCTCACCCAGTGAGCTAACCGGCCATCCCTATATGAGATCCGAACCCGTGGCCTTAGTGTTATCAGCACCGCACTCTCCCGAGTGAGCCACAGGCCAGCCCCAGATAAGCTGTCTAATTAAAAATTTCAGGTAGCTTGAAAATTTCATAATAGAATGCTGGAGGAAAAAAATCAGGCAAAAACCTGCTGACGCTCAGAGACAAGGAAGAAAAAGCTCTAGATTAGGGACATCTTGAATGTTTCAGGAAAATAAAATTATCATCATCAAAAAAGGAAAGCTGTAATAGAAGATTAAGGGTCCTTCATTTCTCCACTGGGTAAAAAACAAAAAATCTTAGGGGCTGGCCCGTGACTCACTCGGTAGAGTGCTCATCATCAAAAAAGGAAAGCTGTAATAGAAGATTAAGGGTCCTTCATTTCTCCACTGGGTATAAAACAAAAAATCTTAGGGGCTGGCCCGTGACTCACTTGGGAGAGTGTGGTGCTGATAACTCTGAGGCCACGGATTCAGATCCCTATATCGGGATGGCCCGTTAGCTCATTTGGGAGAGCGTGGTGCTGACAACACCAAGTCAAGGGTTAAGATCCCCTTACCAGTCATCTGTTTAAAAAAAAAAATTCTGTGAAACTGAAGTAAGATGTATCAGGAGACATTTTCACCCTAGGTAAACAGGTGACAGAAAGGTTACAGAATCTTCCCCACAGACTCAGCTGAAGCCCAGCAAGCTGGATGTTTTGTTTGCCCCAGAGGCCCTAAAGTTGTATCTGTCTCTTATGCTATCAAATCTCCTTCCCTGTAAATAAATAACTCAGCCAGGCAGACCGTGCACACTTCGCATAAGCTTTAAAATTGATGTTTCACTGGTACAGTTAAAAATAAATGCAAAGGCTTGACTATAACCAGTTTGTCCCAACACAACTTAAAATTTCTCACTACTTGATTCAGTATGATTAAAAACTCCTAAGAATGTGTTAGGCCCTGGGCTAGGAGCTAGGTATAACATGTCCAATTCTTCAGTGAGTACTGTAAAGCATTTTGACCTTATCCTCAAAACAACCATATAAAGTGGCAAGAGGCAAGTGAATTAATGTCTCCATCTTGAAAAGAAAGAAAATGGGCCCACAGTAATTAACTGGAGTGGCTTCAGTCTAAACTGAGATCTTTGGATTCTTCATCTAATGCCACAGTAGCACTTACAGGGGGAAAAAATGGAATTAAAAATGAAAGCTCTTCATTGTGATCTAGAGAAAGAGGATGCAAGACCTTCATCTTCATTTCTAAGAATACAGACTAATCAAGTCTGAGCACCTTCACTACTTGAAATACTTTAGTCTGTGAAAGACAAAATTTAAAAACAACCAAAAGTTGAATACTGTTAACTACCACAATAACATTCATTCATTCACTGCCTCCCACACTGGGCACTATTCCAGAAATTAACAGAAGCAACCACAAAACAAACTATTCGGCAGGTGGCCGTGTTCCCACCCAGGGTGAGGGTGGGCACTGGGTGCACGCTGGTCACACTCGCCTCCTTCCCGTACCTTTTGGAAAAAGGCACCTCAGAAGTCACAGTGATCTTGCTCTTGCTCCTTTCGATGGTTACGACCCCTCCACCGAGATTCCCAGCTTTTCCATTCACTTTGATTCTCTCTTGGAGAAACTGCTCCTGCAGAAATTGTCAAATTGACCAATGAGTGAAGTGACAGGTCCACCCGTCTCAAGAGAATATTTTGTTGTATTCCCAACACTGAACCAATACAGTATAGTTGTTTTTTTTAACATTTAGTCTTTTAGAAAATGATAGCAAATCTTTAGCTATTCACATAAAGTCTAAAATCTGGGAATAGCAGGTAGAAAATAGCACTCTTCAAACTTATTTACATGTATTATATACTATGAACATATCATCCTAGCATAAACATATGTGACCGCTCCCACACAAGGTCAATAGGTCAAATATACCTCTACCTGGAATGCTCAGTGGGCAACACACTCATGGGTCCAAAGCTAAACAGCAGACAGGGAAACCAAGGCCAAACTGTGCCAAGGTACACACAACTAAAGCTGCAAGCAACTTCTGAGTCTAAGGAGTATGACAGCACCGTTCTCAGCACTATGGGAGAAAGTAAGTGCTCGACCTAGCAGAAAGAGCAAGACACAGTGACCAAAAGAATTACAAGTCTGCTCCAAGCCACACACATGCTACAACAGAAGGGGCAGCCACCCCAGATCCCAGAGACAGACTCTGCAAACCCTCATGTGAGGCTGGGCGAGTCATTCTCCTCCGTGGGCTTCAGGAATCTTCATGCAAAAAGGGTTTTTTTT